CCTGGCTTCTCTAATCTAACTTTTTAATTGGAATTTCAATAATCCCTATTTCCTCACCCGTCCCGTAATCCTATCATACTGCCAATCATTGTGATCGTTCTCCATTCCTTTTTGTAAAACTGAAAAAGCCCGAATTGCCGAACTCAAAGTTTATTTTGAAACTATCCTCACCTTTTACTCTATTATTCTATTCGGATCCTTCAAATTCGTTGATCCTAGAAGTTGTCGCCGAAGTCCTATGTCCTGTGAAACAGGGACCCGCAATCCTGAAAAATCCTGGAACTTGAACGTTGGGAACTAAGTACTGATTCTTTCCAAACTCAGTTGAATCCTAGAGTTGCCCTAAATTTGTTAGGCCTTCACGGAGGTCACAAGAATATTTGTGTTGTAAAAATTGATGTGAAAAATTAAATCGAGTACACAAAAAGAAATATTACGACCTAATTTGAGTTTCTGATAGTACAGCGACAAACTTAAATCAGTTCAAACCCTATTTTTAACCTGTCAATTCACAAAATTCTTTAACTATTTGTGAATCAAAGAATGCCGAAAAATCATACTTCTTTTATAGGATTCCTACTACAGTATTTGCAGTTCCTACAGTATCCACATTATTGATAACAGGAAAAAATATTTTATTTAATTTCAGCAACAAAAAGCAGGAACATCAACTGAAACTACAGCAGACCTTGTAATTGAGAATCGTAATGTAGTGGACGTTTTACATCGCCTCGACGCCAACTCCAACAATGTAAGCTCCCATTCATTTTTCTTGCCCTTTTCCGTGTCATCCCATCAATTCGACACCATCCCCGAAACCACTATGATTAATTCGTCGAATGCACGTTTTTGGCTCACACGCTCCCTTCTCTTTTCTTTCTCTTGAATTCTCTAGAAGTCCCAATTTTTACTCCTATTGACACAAGAGAAGAAGGCGGAATTTCTGAAAATGTATTCATAGAACATAAATTTGCATTCCATTACATCTGAGTTTTTTTTCATATCTATTCCTTCCCCCTCCTTTTCCTTTCAATTTCTTTTGACTTTCTCGGTTTTCGATTCTTTTGTGCCAGCCAAGAAACAGAAACAGCGACTTGTATGCATTTTGTGGCCAGGCATACAAAGATAAGTTTTGTCGTGTCGCTAGTGTCTCCCGGAATCCACCCATGGGACCATTCAATTTCATGTTTGTCCCCTTCATTCCTTGATTGTCCTACCCCTTTCCACTTGCCCCAACATCCCCGACTTTTACACCCGAAAAGACCTTCTTCCCTTTCATTTTCTTCTTCTCATTGCACTATTATTTTCCAGATTGTCTCTACTTCTTCTGTGCCATCATCAAGAAAATCAAAAGAAAAGAAAGCGAAAATGTCATCAACACCAAGAAGTCCTCTGATGAGTATGGCCAACAGTGTGAAGAGCAAACTCACTAAAATCACACATTTGGGAAGGAGTTCCGAGAGCAGTTCCTCGTCAAATATCAAAACGAGCCAAAGCTTTTCTGGGTTAGTTGATTTACCAAAAGTTTATTTTTCTATATATATTTCCAATCTTGCCCTATTCTTCATTTTTTTGGAAGCTCTAGAATTTCTATG